GTGGCCGCCGTCGCCGTCGTCTCCGTCGTCGTCGTCGTTGTCGGGAAATGCGAGCGCGCAGGCAACCGCCGCCTGCATTATTCGCCGCATGAGATATCTCGCGCAAAAAGTGGCAGAAAGGCTGTGTGCTACGTGAATTCCGTGGCGTATATCATTCCTTCGCGCGCGGCCACGCGTGGCGTAAGCGATGGATTTACTCGCGCCGGATGATAACGCACGCCGCTTCCAAAATGCCGCACAATACGTCCAATTCAGTGGACAATCCCGATCGTTCTATCCGGTGTCGTCTCACCTCGGCCTTTGTCATTTGAACTCTCGCGTATACACGCAAGTATTTTCCTCAACCCACGTTATCGACTCATTGTCGTCACAGTGTCAAACGATCGACGGTCGAATTCCATCGAATTGCTGCAAAACGCGCTCGTAGACTCTTGTTTACTCCGAGAATTCTGATGCATGATCGAAAACAATTGTAATAAACTGAAAAATTCTGTTATAATATAGTACAGCTTTTGATTTTAGGTAAGAGTGGAAGAAGTGCCATTTTGAGGATCCGTAAGAATGATGCTAATCAAATAATAAAACGAGGAACAAATAATCAGCTGGTACAATAAATATTCAACGTGTAATATGGGGGCGTTTTTGGATACTCCGAACACAGAGAAGTGCAATGAGCATGGCACTGGTAACGGCCTGCGGTACGGCGTTGCCAGTATGCAAGGATGGCGAATGGAGATGGAGGACGCTCATCGAGCAATTCCCTGTTTGGATGGTGGTCTCTCGGATTGGAGCTATTTTGCAGTGTTTGATGGCCATGCAGGTGCATTGGTATCAGCGCACAGTGCGGAACACTTATTAGAATGTATAATGCAAACGCAGGAGTTTAAGGCCGAGGATGTTATAAAAGGGATCCACTCTGGATTTCTCAGACTCGACGACGAGATGAGGGATTTGCCAGCGATGAGCGCCGGCATGGACAAATCCGGCTCCACGGCGGTGTGTGCATTTATATCGCCCAAAAATATTTATATCGCCAATTGTGGCGACTCCCGGGCGGTACTCTGCAGATCTGGAACACCAGTCTTCTCGACGCGGGATCATAAGCCCGTTTTACCCGCTGAGAAGGAGAGAATTCAGAATGCAGGTGGTAGCGTAATGATCCAAAGAGTTAATGGATCTCTGGCGGTTTCCCGAGCATTGGGTGATTACGAGTACAAAAATCTAAAAGATCGAGGCCCTTGTGAGCAGTTAGTGTCGCCGGAACCAGAAATATTCATGCTAGACAGGGACGATGAACATGACGAGTTTCTAGTTTTAGCATGTGATGGCATTTGGGATGTAATGAACAACGAAGATTTATGTACTTTTATACGTTCAAGGCTGCAGATAACTGATGATTTAGAAACAGTTACCAATCTGGTTGTAGACACTTGTCTTTATAAGGTAATATATGAAGATATCTTATATATATATTTTTGTATTAAAAGTATAAATGTGATTATATCAAAAGAATATATTACATTTATCACATATCATTTATCACATATTCATTTATTTTAAGATATAAAGCAAATGTGAAAATTACTTTTAAAATTATTTTTAATTTGTAAAATAATATATAAATTTTTATTATTGCTCATTATACATCGTGTTGAGTTACATTCTTAATTTTTCTTTATGTCTACAATCATATGGAATAACTGCAAACTTTTGATGTTGATCGATGTTTTTTTTTATATAAGAATGTATTCAGAACAATCTAAAATTTCGTTACAGGGTAGCAGAGATAATATGAGTATAGTCCTGGTAACGTTTCCGGCTGCACCAAAACCAAATCCTGAAGCACTGAAGCAGGAGGCCGATTTGGAAATGGCTATTGCAAGGAGAATTAAAGGTTCTTTAACTTTTCCATACTTTAATTCATTATATTCTTTATGTTGTTGCATTAATTCAAGATCACGATGCCACATACACGAAAGTGACATAATAAATTAATGTTTGTTGATATAAAATAAATGTAATGATAAATTCTTCCTGGTGCATATTTAATGAAATTTTGCATAATTGTGAAGAATTTGATTAGTGCCAAAGCATATAAAAAAATATTCTTCAACATAAAAATATTATGAAAGTTGATATATGAAATATCTATTTTTAGCAATATAAATACTTTTATTCTCAGATATTTATAATACTGTAAATACTGCAGCTCAATGAGGGGAAAAATAGAGACCAATAATAATGATAGAATGAATGACTCCAAATAGCGTAATAGTTCGCAATAGTTTGCATATGATTATAAGTGATGTGTATTAGACAATTAAAAGTTCAGTAGTAGGAACTATTTATAATGTTAGAAAAATGTTATCGTTGATAAACTGATTTATTATTGCGTTATTAGAGGTGATGTGTACTATTCTAAAAATTATAAAGAATAATATAATAGATAAATTATAAAGAATTTGAAACAGCCAATATCTTCGATGTCACATAAATGTAATCTAATCTAGTTTGAAAGATCAAGAGTTTTATTTTCAGAATAATCTTGTATTTACAATCTACATATCACATGTGCCACAAGATATAACTAGTCATTACACGCAAAGCAATCTTGCAAAAGTGATAAAAATGTTTTCCAGTGTTTTAATGTGCGTAAACAGCAATAATAACAATTTATAATTCTTTAAAATAACTTTAATTGCGATTTGAAAACAAATGTAAATGTTAAAGCTTGCACAATCAATTGTACAAATTATGTGTAATAATAACTACACAATGTGTGAGTCCCACTTCTTAACGTTGCACTTTGTGATTAATAAAGTTGATGTCTTATACGCTATATATCTGTCACATATGAGAAAACAACAAATCGTTGATGTCTTACATCGTCCTGTGTGTGCAAAAACGCATATTTGTTCCACTTTAATAAATTCCATCATATTGCATCTGTTATTTTTCAAAATTTTCTGAGAGCTTGATACAAACAGCTTACCAATTTTCATGTGAAATTCGAGATGTATGACGCGTATGGTATAGATGCAATAATTCACGTACTAAAATATATCATTATTTCCTCAGATCTCACGTTTTATTAAGACTGTATACCCGACTAATGTAATAATGTACATTTCAAAGATACTAATTTGTGCTATGTGTTAAAAATATGAAAGGACTGTTATTAAGAAAATTAAATTATATTGTAATATAAATACTATGGTTGTTTCTTAAATATCAATATTGTTATAAAAATGCGTAAAAATTGCAAAGCTTTAAAAATACGTACAATGCTTAATGTGTAATAACACAAAAGTATAAAAAATACAACCCACTTATAAGAAAAAAAAAAATTTATAATGTTATTCCACCAGAACAATATTTTATAGTAATTGTAGCTTACTCCATACATGATTAATTAAAAATATTACATCAATGCTATACATTTATTAACGGGGCATAAAAGTTTTTAAGATTTCATGGTGAGTTATTTTATTTGGTTGAAAATTCTTATTTTTTGTTTTTCTGTTAATACTAGAATCGAAAAACGATTAAATTAATTTTTATTAAATTATAATCGAAAGAAATTATATGTGGATTATATTTCAATACACTTAGGAACCGTCCATCTAGAAAAGGTCACCATGAAACCTCAAAAATATCTGTGCCCTATTTATAATCAAACTATCATGTGTATCAATTCAATGTTTCGTATTATTTTCTTTAAAATGAGAGAGAAAAAAATTAGTCTGTAGTATCATAAAATTAGTACACATTATTTCGTCATGTAATGACAAAAGTTGTCAATAAATATTATGCAAAATTCTTGCTGAAAGATATGTTCCACCCTTGGAGTTGATAAATTAACCTAAAGTTCAATCTTTAAGTAGAAACTATATATATATACATATATATCGAAAGAAAGTTGTTCCTCTTGTTTATGTTTGTTCCTCTTTTAAAGTTCATCTAAACCATGTCATAAGGTAGGTGCAAATTTTCTTACGAGAATCTAACATTGTCTGTTATCTACTTTTGATATCAATTTTAATAGCAATGCATTTCTTATGGAGGAACATTGCAGCAGATATCTTTTATTTTTTTTTCATAATATCCAAAGGATACACAATTCCAGAGGTGGACAATTTGCATCATATATTTGAAAGCTTGACTAAAATGTATCTACTTAAGACAAGAGTATGTTTCCATAAGAAATGTAATGTACAATCTACTCTTCCAGTCCTAAGTAGATGCATGTACACAATTGTGTTGTATATGCGCGTGTGTGTATATTTCGATATTTGCTAATTATTCCATATTTGCTAATTATATTCTCGCAAGCATCTTGACAAAATGCATGTAAAAAAATTATCGTATTGTGTATTATAAATTGGGATATGCAAACATAGTTTATATTTTTTCAATAAATTATCACATTTTTATTTTGATTTATTATTAATAAAGAGGAATATGTATGGAAATGTACACTTATAATTACATATAAATGTATAAAATAACAGTGGTTTGAGAAAGCAGATAATTTCTATTGCTACGTCTATGGAAAATTTGAATTATAAATTTCATAATATTGAATAGTATATCAAGCACATTTTGTTAAGCGTATGTTTGGATAGTTGCATTTAGAATTGCACATAATCTAAGAAAACCATATAATTAGCTATTATATTATTTATAAATTGATAAGTTCATAATTTTTATAAGTTTAATAATTTTTTAACGAAAAATATCTAAGTTACTTTAATATTTTTCTTCTATATTTGTAGAAATAGTCGCCCAAGAGGAGGACAAGAGTGAATTTGATTATCTAAAAATGTTGGAACTTCTTAGAGGAGGCGAGCGTTTTCCTTATCTGCCTCCTGGTGGTGGTCTTTATGCTAAGTAAGTTTAGCAACATTAAAACACGATTTTTAGAAATAATAGTCTGTACTCAGCAGAGTGTTTAGTTTGTAACTTTTAAAATTTTTCTTCCTGCTTTTTTCTGATTGGATTATTTTTCGATCTAAAAGAATAGTCCTATCTTAGAAGAAAATTTTTGACAGTTGTAAAATAAATATTCTTACGCGGTAAATTATATCATTAAACTAGAATCAAAGTTCTTAGTAAAAAGTATTAAAAGTATTATTTAATATTTTCGTTTTATTGCCAATCATTATTAAAAACTTAAAAGGGTTAGTTTCTGTACAGTGAAGTATTACATAATTTTAATTTAGGAAAGATGACTCATACTTACGTAACATGTACATATACATACATAACTGTTTTAAAACGATATTTTGAAGTATATTTAATATTTAGTTATATCTTTTAATAGAAATTGAGAATAGACTTTTTACGATTTTCATAGTGAGATCACGGTAATGTTAGCGTTACTACTACCAAATACAACCGAATCGACAGTCTTCTACCAATTTGGCTAGATTCCAGAATATAATTAGATTCCGTCGTGAGAGTCCAATAATTTTATACTTGACCTTTTCTAAATGCACCTGAATTATTAGTACTCATTTTCGAAAATTTCATAATGTGCAATAATCATGTTGTATTTCTTTTCCTTTCAGGCAATCATTTATCGAGAAAATGTTTCGAGAAATGTGTCCCAGCAAAGCGCATTCTGTAAGTGTTGGATACATCCCTTTGACATAACTAACCCTCGATCGTTTTCTAAACTGCATCAAATGTACAATTATATAATAATAAGACATGTTCCATATTCATATAAAGATGCAGAATTTACCGTGGACACATTTATTTGAATAGTAATCCCTAATGTAAGAAAATCCTATCAATGTTAAAGAAAAATTACGATGTATTATAAATTGGTGAGTTTTAAGAGAACTAAGTTTCGTAAGTCTCATAAAGCACATAATTAGTAGACTTCTACTAAGTGACCCACGATTGGTAACGTAAATTAGTGCGTAAATTAATTAAATATTATGTACTTTTGTAAGTGTTTCTATCCATCTATCTATACTATTTGTTTAAAAACTCAAGCTATACAAAAGTTTCCTTATTCATCGTAACTTTAGTAATCGTAACAGACATTGAAATATTATCCGGGGGTTATGTATCTATTTAAGCAATATATATTTTTCTCGAAAGATTTATTTTAGAAAAATGGCTGAAACTTAAGTGCGCTGTATCGATAGTAAACATACTTAACTAAGTTCCACTATTTTGTGCAAATTATTAATTTGCAGATTAGCCAGTTAATAATTTTAATGGAATAATAGTACAAGTGAAATATCAATTACAAAGGGACTAAGGATAATTATATAAATATTTACTTTTAATTTTAATACGCACTTCTATCGTTTTGAATATTTTACTTAGAATATGAGAAAGTCGAACAAACAAATACTTGATATACAGATGTAAGAAAATATTTTTATGATTGATGGCATATTTCAGGAGAAAATGTAAAAATTGTGTTATGTACTTTACAAATAATCCAAATTGATCTTTGACTTTTTACCATTTAATCATTTTTTATAATTATCACACATTGTATATGTGTTGGATTTTATAAATTTCTTTTTCATTTTGGGAAATAAAAATTGTTTATATTTCAGTTATATTATAAGCAGAGGGTTAAACAGATGTTAAACTAAAAATTAGATGTACAAGCTGGAATAAAAATGAAAAATTAGATAATATGAAAACTAATCAAGGTGTAAGTTTTAATATAATATAAATATGTAAAAAAATGTAGAGAGCATGATATGTTATGTATGCATTTATTTGGAGGTATTTAAAAAAAAAATGATATCTTTAAATATTTAATTATTATGAAATTTGCACAATAGACTAATACTACTATACATTTTATACCGCTTGCGTAGCTCTTTCACACGCAAACAGGATTTAATGTTATCTTCATCAAAAATGTATTTTCCTCAGAACTGTACAAAAATTTCTGTATTACAATACATTCGTGATACATTATGAAGCGAGATTTTCATGGAATTTAATAAGAATTTAGTAGAGTATTTCTGTCATGCCCTCTTGCCATGTTGATAAAAAAATGCATAATATTGCGATATATAATTATATATTTTTGTAGATCTAGGGAAAAAATTAGTGCTCAGAATATATATCTACTCCTCTGATTGGTATTTCCTACTTTTCATTTATAATCAGTTCCGATGTTTATGGAAATATCAGTCCAGTGTACTTTGTAGAACACGGAAACTTTTTATATGAGAAGAGTAGGAAAAAAAAAGATTATTTAGTTTTAAAATTATCAGTCCTGTATACACACACACGCGCGCGCGCGCACACACACACGCACGTACGCACACACGCGCGCGCGCGCACACACACACACAAGAGTTGATAAACAGTACTGATATTTTCTTCAAATAATTTAAAAAAATGAGAACTTAATACACTTGACGAGGAGGCCTTGAGTTTAGTTTCCTGTAATGTTATTTCATAAATTTTATATTTGGCTACCCACAATCATAATAGATTAAATTGTTGTATTTAATGTATATTCGGAAATATATTATACAGTAAATATATTATTGAATTTGTAATTTAAATACATTGTATACAAATTTAATCAACAGTGATAGAGTAAAACATTTACCTAACACATATATATGTATAAATATATAAATCAGCTTTATGAATAGCTTTTGGAATAACGCATATCAAACATTAATCCTTCGATTTTTATAATCATTTTTCACGCATATAAAATCACATATTTTCTGAAGAAAGTGGAAATTATACATCAAGGCCATCCTCGTGCATACGATGAAGTATACATGTACCAAAGTATATTATCGTTTCTGGTTATAAAAAGAAATGTCTAAAACTAACAAAGTTAACACTCAATCTACTACCCGTTTTTTTTAAAGTAATATATTAGAAATATAAAAATATATAAATCTTATACAGAGAACGGATTAACCCTCTATTTTTACTAACGATGTCTCATTAAATGGAAATGTGAAGATACTAATGTTTTGCTGGTATTTCAAATTTTTTTCTTTCTAATCTGATCAATAGAACGCGAAAATTCATAAGATTTATAACGATGGATTTTTCCAGACGAACAATACTGATGCGTGGAGCTGATGCAATTATATATAATCATTTTAAATATGAGCAAGACATTTCTTCTATTGTAAAACAAAAAAAAATAGAAATAACGCAACTTGGATCATTCAAGCAGAGTGGCTAGCCATATGAAAATCTCACAAATTTTCACGACCTATTAATCATAATAATATAATTTTTTAATTTGGTTAACAAAAGCTACACAAAGTATTAGATTTTCACAAGATTGTGAATTACAGAATAAACATATTACAGATATACGTGAAGCTTTATAACTTCTTGAAGTGATTGAAGTCTAGTTAATAACATATAGCGTGTATCTAGACTATGGATTTATAAAAATAATTTGATATAGCTGAATATTTCCTTTTGCTGAGCTTTCCGTGCCTCATCTAGTGACAATGATATAACGCCCATATTAATGGTATGTGTTTTCAACTCGTATTGCAAACAGTATGCAGAATTGTACAAATATGCTTTTAATTGAAAAATTATTTGGTGGCATAATATATAATATTAATTTAAATTTACGAACATATTAATCATTTACATTGTTAATGCAAACTATTTACTTCATAAAAATTTGGAATTTTAATTTTGGAATGGATTATCATCTTTTTGTACTAACTTTTTTTACATATAGTCTTAGTTTGCGTATTGAATATAATTCATATTATACACACACATTGAGTCAAATATTTTATGAAATTTGCAAGAGGAACAATTATATGAAAATTTTACAAATGTTTCTGTATCTATATTCTTTTAACTTTTCAACATTGTGTGTATATTTAGAACATATACAAAATGGGACTATTAGAGAAAAAAATTGTGGAAAATAATGTTTTCATAAAAACAGAAAAAATAATATTCTATTAATGTCACTGTTATATAACATTATACGTCAATTAAGTTCAATTGGCATAATCGTAGTGATGGAACAGCTATGATATTGCATTTATTTCTTTTTGTGATCTTGTAATTGTTTTAAATGTCATTCACAATTTTAATTAATTAATTACGTATTTATTAAGGATTGTAAAAAAAAACTTATAATTTTCGTTGGGAAATTGTAATATCGTATATATCTTATTATTACATTTTCATATATATCCTATTTTATTTTAAACTATAATTATGTTTACATGACCGTTGAACTTTTGAAATTTTTGCAGGAATTATCAAATATAAACAGATTTCTCATAATATGCATTAATTATATTAATGCTTCACGAATGCTATATGATCCATATCACTTAAGAGATCCTTTCTTTTTTAATATCTGTATCATATTTTTTTCTGATAAGTTAAATCATTATTATATAATGCTATTTTCATAGTAAGAAATTACCTTAAACATTTATTTAATTTCATTTGGGAATTCTTCCTTAATGAATTCGAAAAAATGTTGTGTACCACGACACTAATCTATTACAAATTATTTTTTATTCTTCTTGTGAAGTCTTTAGCCTTTCTTTATTCTTCTGTTGAGCCAGAGCACAAGTCTGCCAAGGGACACACAGATCCCCACTGACCAAGCTTAATAACAGCTGTTAAAATTTTGATACAGCCTCTACTTAACCTTCTTTTTTCTAATTTAATTAATAAGAGAAAATAAAAGATTGAAATCATGTGTACTGTTGTTTTTAAAATGGAAGCTTTAGTATTAACACACATTTTTATGCGGCGTTTAAAATATACAGACAGAGTTAAGAAGATAAAAAAGGAAGTTAAGATCTTACAATAAGCGCCTGTCGTATACTGCAAAATTTTGGCGTTTCAAATGCGGTATACTATTTTAGATATATTATTATTGTCGTGTGTAGAGAGTTGTCGACATGATTGTACAATACTTGTCTATGTTTATTGTACATAATACGCATAATTAAAATGATTTGATGGGAACAAGTCTTTCGTTTTTCGCTATAAGTAAGCGTAATGTGTAATTTCTAACATTTTACCTATTTCCAAGCTATTGACTAAATATAAAATACCTTGTTAGGTATTACATCGCTACCACAATGAACTTGGATAATTTTATTTTAATTGTTCCATTCTAAATAATATGGTTTCTTTTATTTAAAGAGAGAGAGAGAGAGAGAGAGAGAGAGAGAGAGAGAGAGAAAGAGAGATCGGATAACATGGTGAACCGACAATCGTCTGTTGCACAAACGAACGAATGCCTGATATACGCAAATATTCACGAAACTTATTTTTTCACAATGAAAAATTGTATTATAACCGTAGTATCATTGTGATTAATTACAAAAAAAGTCTATATAGAGTACCAATAAACATGATAAAGTTATCAATTATTACTTCCACAATAAGAAGGTAAAGATAATTAGAGCGTAAAAAATGAAGTGATCAGAATTTTTTTCATTTTTTTTGTATTGATATTATATACGTTTTTTCTTAATTGATGAATACGTTTTCCCTAGAAATATGCTATTGTCAATAATGAGTCGATAAATAAATATCCGATGTCTAATACTTTGTAACATATTTTCAGAAATCTATATTTAATATTCTGATATTTATCTTTAGACAATACCACTTTATAATTATGTAGTGTTTTTTTCTGCATGATTGAAATGTACACGTGTATTATCTCCATATTATTAGCTTATAAAAAAGCGATATTTTATTTATTCGAAGAGAACTGCAAAACAATATATTAAGAGAATAAAGCTGGAGTTATATTTTCTATTTAAGAATATTTAATATTTGAACATTATTTTTTGAAGTATAAGAAAAGAGGCGCACTGAATTATTTTTTCTTTAGATAGATATCTGATTAAATATTATTTTCTTATATTGTGTCTTTCAACAATCTGTTTAACATGCAGTGTTTTATTTTTTTTTCTGATATTTTCATGATACTTGATTTACGTGATTGTAATTAGAAATCAATTTTTATATTATATTTATAATATAATAAATAGCATGTGATATTTATTAATATTTCAAGATGATAAATAATGTTGTAATAATGTTTTAATCAATCATCATTGATGATATTCCAGTGCATGTAAGTATGTAATTTATATTATTTATTTGCAATATTAAGGATATTATATAGTGGTATTGTTAATATATTTATATATATCTATATATCAGTAATACAACAAGTTATAGAATTATTGATTAAAACTAAATATATTTGTAAAAATATAAATAAAATGCTAAACTAGAAACAATCAAAATTAGATTAATAATTTTGAAGTCAAATTTCAAATCGGAAAATAAAAATTTAAGAAGCTTAAATATAAGTATTGATCATATAATATCGGTCATGTAATATTGTTATATTTTCTTATTATGTTTTATAGACAAGAAAATATGTACAATTTTTAATATTTAACACAAAACTGTACACAATTACATTTTTTGTCTATAAGAAATTATATAAAAATTTTCATATCTATATAATAATTTGTCAGATCAGTTCGAAAATATTTAATAAAAAATATGTATATCTACAAGAAACAAGATAATGTATACATATACGCATAATTATTAAATCTTGAGGAAAAGATGTATGTGCAAAAATTAAAGTACTATATAATGATATGCTTACAGAATTCACAGAGCAGTTAATGTATGCAATTACGTATACGATTTCATACATGCGAAATTGCAATAGACTGGCCAATCCAAAAGTGGTGAAAATGAGATATCTATCATCAAGAGTCATTATGGAGTACTACATGAGCAGAGACTGTGCAGAGTGGTAATTGATTATTAATGTCAGTTTCTTTTTTGAATTGTTACATTTACGCGTGATAAAGAAACAAAGCATTTTTTTCAATTAAGGATAAAACGGAGAAAAATTGGGAAAATTCTTTTAATATATATCTCAAACATACATTTTTTTACTCCTTTTATACATTGAATTATACACGAAACATCTTCATACGATATGTATTTTTAAAATTTTATTAACTTCAACAGAGATAATCATAACTTTGAAGTAAAATTATGCTACATAAATAACTGATATAATTATGTAAAAATGTTAAATTACCGTAAGACTATTGATTAGTAAATTAGAAACCTAATATATTGCTAACTTTAAAAAAGCTATTCTAGAATTAATATACATATACATACATATATATTTCTTTGGATTGATATATGTAAAATTATATTTAGTTTATTTTAATGGGAAATTGAACGTAGCATAATTCACACAATGTATATTATGTAATTGTAGAAATTGATGTATTCTTCACTTAATATCGCTGTATGATTATATGCATAATAGGATCTTCAAAGCACAGTTAATTTTTTTTATATTTAATTGTGTTGCACTTCTTATGCAATTAAAACAATTTTATTCGATCGTAAATAAAATAAACTTTGTTTTTTATATAAAAATAGAAATCGAAGCTCTCATATATATCCCTTTTCCTATTATATAAGATTTACTTATCTGGCAACTTCTATTTCTTAGAGTTGCCTGTGCTAGCTCGTTTAGATATCTTGTTCAGTAATATATATATGTGTGTATTTACGTGTACGAATACAATGTGCTACAAAAATTATTTTTATATGTTTATTCCAAAATATTGAAGATGATACAAAAGATCTAAAATGGTATGGACATACCGTTAATATTTAAAAAGTATGCGATTTTTCTTATTGATATTACTTAAATATACAGTAATAACAATAAAAAAACAGATCCTAGTTTATTTGAGGTATCACAATGTATGTTTGTTCAGATAAAACATAGCCATTTTATAATAAGATAAAAACTGTATATTCACCTATCCACGCATACCCACATATGTATGAAGTACTTAGCTATTTTATGGTTTTCATTTCAGTTATTTTATAGTTGTACATTTCTAAAATGTCATTTAAATTGTTGCGCTTTGTGATTCAAATCTGCTTATAGTTCAACTTAAATATTTAATTTAAAATATACTGGTAACGCCTGATTTAATGCTTAACATACAACAATCATCACGTCAAAGTAATTACACACGCACACGCGCACACACACATGCAAAATATACGTTGATAAATAAGATGTATAGATGAATTGTGCTAAATTATTAATATATAGATAAATTTATATTTGTTAACATTTCAATATTGTAGTTTGTCTATTTGTGAAATTTTTTTGTTTTCCTAGCTGTTCACATATTCATAAAATGTTGTAACATTATTCAGAAAATTGGATATATACATAAGAAAATTATTTAATGATGAATTAGTCTATTTGTCTACCCACAACATCTTTTTCGTGTTTTTTTATTCTTACACTGTCTAAATAAGTGACTCGATTCATAAGAATTGTCTGATGATATTTCATAGAAAGTATTTTCATCATATAATTCTGAAATATATTATGTTTACGTTTATACATTGACTTCACAATTGTCAACAAATTATTAATTATCTTTACCTTGGCCTTCAGATGACCAAAAATAAATTATTTCTTAATCTAAAAAAGATGTTCAGTACACTGTACAAAAATAAAATACGATTATTATAGATTGACTGGATTAAACATTTAACTGGAAAAAACCAAATTGTTAATCATTTTGTAGAATTGTGTGCTAGTTTCTTATGGATGATCATATATTCTACAATGACCACAATACTATTTATCAATGCTTTCATTTATACACACTTAATATAATCAAATCAGCTAACGTAATGCACTTTACAATAATTTTCTCTTATACTATTAAGTATAAAATGCTTAATAAATTCTATTTCTATTTTTATGCTATGTAGTAAAAATATGTATAATGTTACACAATAGTCTTTCATATATAATAAATTATATATATATATATATATATATATATATATATATTCTTCAAGTTTACCAAAATATTATACGACTCATTTAGCATATGAAATAAATATATTAACTTATTCGAAATCCAGGAATCGAACCATTTTGTACAATCTTCGTAAGATGTGAACTTCTGCTCGCACAAGCTATGAGCTAATGATCGAAACAAGTGGTAGTCGCTAGGTGCAATATCAGGAGAATACAGCGGGTGCGGTAGCACTTCCCATTTAAGTGTTTCCAGGTATGTTTTTACCGGTTTTGCAACGTGTGGGCGAGCATTGTCGTGCAGCAAGATGACTTTATCGTGTCTTTCGAAGTATTCCGACCGTTTTTGCTTCAATGCACGGCTCAAGCAGTTTTAGCAGTTCGTAGTATATGACACCCTTCTGATCCCACCAAATACAGAGCAGGAGCTTTGAGCCATGGATATTGGGCTTTGCCACTGATGTTGATGGTTCGCCGGGCTTAACCCATGACTTTCTGCGCTTTGGATTGTCATAATGGATCCACTTTTCGTCACCGGTAACAATCCGATGCAAAAAACCTTTTCTTTTCTGCCGTTGAAGCAGCAGTTCGCACGTGAGAAAACGTCTCTCAATATCCCTTGGTTTCAATTCATATGGGACCCAATGTCCTTCCTTCTGGATCATGCCCAAACTTTTAAGACGTTTTCCTATTGTTGAGAAGTCAACTTCCAATGACGTAGATAATTCTTTAAGTGTTTGACATGAGTTTTCATTGAGCAGTGCCTGCAAATCGTTATCTTCAAATTTTTTCGGCTGACCAGGTCGCTCCTTGTCATCCAAGTCGAAATCACCAGCTTTAAAACGTGCAAACCACTTCCTACACGTTTGCTCAGCCAGAGCATGTTCACTATACACATCCACTAAAATACGATGAGCTTCAGCTGCACTTTTGTTCATATTAAAATAATGAAGCAAAACTCCCCGCAAAAACACTTTATCTGGCACAAATTTTGACATATTCAATGAATTATACAGTATTGTTATTTATGATTTCAAGAAAGGTTATGTACGGCAAATGACGTCCTATGATAGATGTTTACAATGTATACAGAACTATAGGTAACAACGAAATAGTGTACTGCTTGTGCCATCTCTTGTAAAACGCTACGAATTAATTCCAACACCTAATAATATATAGCAACAAATGCTTCACTGCAATCAAAGTTTTTGTTGCCAACCAAAAAATAGCTGAAGTTTAATTACAATTCCACGGTATGTTCGAAAACTTATACAATTTGATCAGATTTTAATGCTGATTTTGTATCAAGTGTGAATTCTGCAATATAAAATATATTAATGACATTTAAGAGGGAAGTATATCTCATTTGTATAGATATATAATCGCAGCAAAGGCGATGAGCATAAAAAAGGCAGTCATTGCACATTTATATGTTCTACCATAACAAATTCTATATCAGTATACTGTGCTAATTAACATACATCTTGTTTTATAGACCATTAGTATACATCTTAATATATCACAATCTAATCTATTTTCACAGTGCAATTAAAATATAAAATGTCTGTAAATTTATTAAACAGCCAGTTTATTAATCCTTTTCTAGTTTCTTTAAATTCGAGCTAAGTTAGATATCAGATCTAACGGAATCTGTCACAGCGTATTTGAACTACTTTGAGTGTCACGCGTAAGTTAAGAAAGTCACATATTTACATGTTGATTTCAAAATCACATTCGTGCTCTCCTCCGCAATATATAAATATTATTATACAAATATTATTTTTACTTCATCTCTCCAGAGTTTCTGCCCTTTGATTTGAAGAATTCGAAATATATTGTAAATGTGCCTACATCGAAAGAAATTACTAATTAAAAGAAAAAAGTTATTTATTAGTCCAACCTCGCCAAATCGAGGCGATACTGGCTGCTGCACTTGTTACCAAACCACCAGCGACACTCTGATGTACTTGCATACTAGAAGATTGTTGACTAATCATCGCAGAAGACGGTACTGCCATTTCAGGACAAGCGATACTTGGTACCTGCATACATACGCCATGAATACCAGTATCCATCAATCGTGTTCCTATTGCTTGAATTTCGTCATAGAAGCGTACATAACTTACAGAAGTATGACTTACAGCTTCCCATCCCCAACACAAATCTTCTTCGTCCGAAGCTGAATCATCACTATTTTCCAAATCGGGAACTAACTGATTGTGAAGTTGTGCTATTACAGACGGATCAACTTCCATTGGTCCAATTCTATAATATGCAATATACATGAATATGTAATTATAAATTTACGAATTCGTTTCTATAATCTGTTAAGATTAATAAAATTATTACACATTACCTTCCGAGATCACTAATTTCAGTATTGAGCAAATGTATCAAGTTTTGCAATGTATGCATAGGATTTAAAACTTCTATTTTGGTATTTTGCGTAAGACACAAATGTAATACGTTACTATTTAGTCTTGCTACTTTCCTAGCAAATTTTTGGTCCGACAATTCATTCCCGCAAAATTCTCTGAAAAAACATGGCCAAGATGAAGAAAATATCTCACACAATTTATTGTTAATATGTGCTCGTACATTACATTATCTACACCTAATAAAAATAGACATGGATAAAAAATATCATGAATATATGTTTGCAAGTAGTATATATAATTCTTAATACGTACCCACAAGTAAGTTTATATGGTAATTTTATATTAACATAATAGGCAAGAACATTAACCAGTTGTGTAGCGTATGTCAAAGCAGCACTAATATTATACGCTGGATTGTGCATTGCGTTTTCTTTATTTGCACCTGGCACTCCATCTTTATTTGCCGCAACTGAACATAATACATTTATGTATACAGAGTGTCTGGAAATAATCGCCAAATATTTCATGGGCAGGTAGAGAGGACTAAACTGAATCGAAGAGTCCTCTACCATTTTGTAATTTTCGCAATAGTTAACAAGATATTAATTTAACTAATCTGTGCTTCGCGGGTTTTCTCTATGTCTTGGTCCATTCTTGATGTGCCAACGTTTCGTAGGCCTTGCAGTCCACTTCATCAGGGCGAGGAGCAGCCTGATACTGAGCTGTTCCTCCAGGTCCTTCCTTTTTATGTTACGCTACTTGTTGAGGTGGGAGTTTTTTGATGGTGGAGGAGAGGAGGGGGGTTAGAGTGATGGGGGAGACAGATAGTGAAAGATATTAATTACTAAAAATTGCCAAATATTGGTCTTGAATAATTTTTTACTCAAATACTATCAACTTTACAGAAAAAGTTCTGAGAATTTTTTCAAAATTTTTTCAGAATTTTTTAATAATCGTATTTTCTCATGTAAAAAAAAGAAAATGCAGTACTAAAAAGTTGATAAAAAATTCTGAAAAAATTCTTAGAACTTTATGAGAAGAAAATAAATGATTTTTGTCTCTTGCAGCTTTTCCATAAAGTTGATAGTATTTAAGTGAAAAATTATTCAAGACCAATATTTGGCAATTTTTAATTAATATCTTGTTAACTATTGCGAAAATTGCAAAATGGTAGAGGACTTTTCGACTCAGTTTAGTCCTCTCAATCTGCCCATGAAATATTTGGCGATTATTTCCAGACATCCTGTATATACTTAGGTGTAATGTCATTAACTAATATGGGAATAAAAACAATTACCCCAAAGAGAATAAGCGCTGTAGTCTCCTGTCGCTGGTAACGTTGGTTCAACAATGGAATGATGGATTTCCAGAGAACTTTCTTTCTCGTTAATCCATCTACCCCGTACATATGACGTACCTGATGCATCTGCTAATGCGCTAGTAAGAATATCCGAGGTGGCACTGTCACTGTCTTCACTGCTGCACAAACTATAAATAATATCCGTAATATTAACAATCTTGGAAAATTTTTAACAATTCTATATCGCTTTTATGTTTACATTTCTAATACCTTCTATTTGGTTGGACCTTAGATAAAGGAAAAATGTACTGAATTAACTGCTTGGCAGCAGTTCTAATAACTTTCTTTAGTTGCTCCCTTTTTCTATCCACAACTTCTTTCTGTTTCTCCTGCTTAACTTTTAAGCCATTAACATATCGATGTAATTTCTCTATTCTATCCTCGTGCCGTGGCACTCGAAGAGTCAACTGAGAGTTGACATCTTTCAAAACATTCAGACGTTGATTACCTACACGTAAAAAATTAAGTAATTAATAGAAGAAATAATTTAAACAATTTAAATAATTCAAGTACTGTATCAAGTGCAAATTTTAAGTCTTACCTCTATTGATACTCTGTCTTGT